TGATGTCGTAAAGCATATTTGTCTTAAACCAGCAGGTCATTACGATTAAATTCAAGGGCCAAGCAAGTTTGCTTACCATCACCGTAATCATGATAATTTTAATTGTTGCTTCCTGAGAGTTTTTTTCCCTCCCAGGCACTGTGTTAGGCTCTTCATATACATTACCCTTAATTTTTAAAATGATCCTTTGAAGTAGATTATTGCTAGGAACTGTTTGGGTTGTGATTTGAAACCAGGTATGTTTCACTGCAAAGCTCTGTGGCCTTTCTGGTACCCAGTTATTGGTCATTATTATTGAATATTCTGGAAGTTCTGACCAGTGAAATAAGACATGAAAAGAAATTAAACTTTTAACTATTTAAAGTGAGAAAATAGTGTCATTATTTGTACCCCATAGGATTTGTAAAACTAGAAAATTCAGAAGAATTAATGATGAATCATTACAACAATTTAAAAAATTTGGTGAAATGGCAGGACATGTGGCAATGGCCCTAGAAACTCTGTAGCCAAATTGTGAAAGCATAATACGTACACAGAACGGCAAGGGAGGAGAGGGCAACACCTATCTTAGCTGCTGGTCAAATCAGTTGACATCAAGCATGACAGAGTTATCGTAGCACAGTTATCTTCATAGCTAGTAACCAATCAGAAAGTAATCTGGGAAAGGCGATCTCATTCACACTAGTAGCAATGATCATAATGCACAACACAACATCACATCATAATAACATCACAAAGTACCTAGAAATAAACTGAATGAGAAAGTGGGGGGATCTATATGATGAAAATGCAAGACTTTTTATTGAGCTAAAAAGGAAGTCTTGAGTAAATTATAGGCTTATGTCAGTTCTTTGTTGAAAATTCTAAATGTTGCAAAACTGTCACTTTTCTCCAAAATTAATTTGTAGGTTCAAGATAATCCAATTAATTTCCAAAGGTTAAACTTTATAGCTTAATCAAATTATTCTAAAATTTAAATGGAAGAATAAGCCAGAAGAACAAAGATAATTCTGAAAGGTAAGAGCAGTGAGAGAAACTTGCATCACTAAGTGTGTTATAATGGTGCAATACTAGAGCAAGTATAGATAACTGGGTAATTGACAAAAAAAGAAAATAGATATTCTAGAAACAGACACATTTTCTATGTACAAATAAAATGTAAGAGGGAGCATCAAAAAAACTTATGGGGAAAAGGAAGGACTCGAATAAATGAGGTTAGGACAATTGATCTTTTCTTATGCTGTGGACTGAATTGTATCATCTTCTCAAAATGCATATGTTGAAGCCCTAACCGTACAACCCCCACCCCCACCCCCCATTGACTGTATTTGAAGCTAGAGCTTATGGGAGGTAATTAAGTTTAAATGAGGTCATAAGAGTAGGGCCCTAGGATTGGTGGCCTTAGAAGAAGAGAAAATGTGATGACACGGAGGGCAGGTGGTCTGTAACCAGGAAGAGGATTCTCACTGGCGCCCAAGTTGGCTGGCACCTTGATCTTGGACTGCCCAGTCCCTGAACTGTGAGAAAATACATTTCTTTTGTTTAGGTCCCCCATCTGTGGTATTTTGTTATGGCAACCCAAGCTGACCAATACATCTTAAAACTCTACCTCTTAAAGCTTTCTCTAGTATTAAAAAATCTCTCTCAAAAAAAAAAAAAATCTCTCAACCTAAAAAAGCAAGCAACAGATTGGAAAAATACTGTAAAAGATTTTCAGAAAATGTGGCAAAGCTCTAATATCTTTGTCATAAAAAGAGATCATACAAATAGAAGAGAAAAAAACCACTGAGTCTCAGTAGGGAAACGGGTACATTATATACAGATGCAGTGTACAGGAGAAAATGTAAACCTAGAATGAGTCAGGTCTTCTTAGAAATGCTTTTTGAATGCGGGAGGGGGGAGGGGGTAGTTTTGGACATTGTGGATGGTGAGCTGCCATCCTTCTGTATTGTGTGTGCAGCCCCCTTTGCTGGAGATGTGTATGTGCCTCTCATTTGCAAATTATGTCGATGTATTTGCATATAAGGCTCCCTTGCTCCCTTCCCCTTATCCCATGGTGCATGGGCTCTATGACACATGCATATCACATGTAAAGATTGTAGCCAACTCAGCGTATCCACCACATGGCCTTCATGAAGCATACACTTTCTCTGTGGTAGAAACTACTTGTGTCTGCCTGTCCACGTGCACTTGGTATCTCGCACCAAGCCTGGAGGGCACAAGAATATACCTAGCGGGGTCTGATGGAGGCAGGCTGGTGTGGGCCTGTCTTCGCAGAGCTGGCTCTTTTTCTGGGCCAGTGAAACTTAATCATGGGAAACAGTCCAGCAGAATAAGATGCTGATGTGACAGCAAGACTGGGCCTGCCCCTGGCCCGGGCCCTGGTCCACCGTGGGCACCTGTGGAAGTCACTTAATCTCTTTTTCCTTGCTTCCCTCATCTGTCTGAGGAAAGGATTGGACTTTCCATATTCCTCAACCCTTGCCCCATAGCCAGGGTTTTTGTGGAACTTCACCGTCTGCACCTTTGTTTTCCCCAAATAAAATGGGACAGATATCAGCTTCTTTCCTAACTGCACATTGCCTTCCGTTTTCCACTCCTTCCTCCCCGCTCCCCACCTCCGAGCTGGAGGGTAACCACACAGGGAAAGGGTGGGCCTTTCCAGGTCTGCAGACAATGGCGAAGATCTCCTCCAGCCTGACGTTTCCTTAACTCAAAGGCAGGAATGAGGTAGTTGACTTTAAAATACTTAAACTAGTGTCACGTGGAACATGAGTTGTTCGGAGAACACATTTTAAGAGTTTCCACCATTAGAGACCTTTATGATACGCTGGCTTAGTCACGGGTAAACAAACGTCCTTATATCAGGACTTCTCGGTGTGTTTTTTTGGTGGGCACTGAAATCTTCGAGAAGGGGGATAAGTGTGTGGCTTTTCCCTAACCTGTTTGACCACGCAACCCTTTTTCCTGGAGAATCTTAAGGGCCTGATGTTCTGTGGGACTTACTTTGGGAAGCGGTGACTTTTGTTTTCGCCCATGTTTGCACTGGCAGTGATTCAGCCTTTTAATTTTGGGACTTAATGGACTTAACATGCTTTAGCCTCCATTGCAGAAAAGAAATACAGATTTCTTATCAGAAGCAGGCAGATATAAGGTTATGAGGTCATTGCTGTTCATACTGCCTAGCTGTCACAAATCCAGTACAGGAATTGTTTAGAGAGGAGAGGATTGCTTTAAGAAAGGGATTTTTTTTTTCTCCTTGAGTACTTTCCAATGTGTACATTAGTTTAAAAAAAAACCAAAAACAACAACAACAAAAAACTAATAGCTCTCAAATTTTTGTGAACATAGTGGAGTAGCTAAATTAAGATTTTGTTTATTAGTACTGTAAAATTCTTCTACAGAACTTTTGAGTGGAGTAGTTCAGGTTGACCTTAGAGTGTGTTTATTAAACACAGTGTCTTTGGACATAACTGTGGATCAGCGGTCAGATGCCTCCGTGGTTTCTGGGAGGGGGCAGAGAGCAGTAACTTAACACTTCTGAGCATCACCAACGTTCCTTCACTAACAAGGGCCCAGATCCCTGTCTTTATCCCAGACTGTCTTTCTGAAATACATTTTCGTAGACTGTTGCTTCCCTTCTGCCCTGAATAAGAGTTGGGCTGAGAAAATAGAGCCCTGTGGGAGTCATTCCCAAGAACAATAAACAGGATAGAGAGGCCCCTGGAGTACTGCATTTGTCATTTAATGGTCTGAGGAAAGGTCATCTGAGTTCAAGAACTCTCCACAAAGTGGGAAGGAGAAATTCTTTAACTGTGGTTTCTTTGACATTAGGGATGTGTACCTTGGTCTTAACAAGCTTCTGAAAGTTTCTAGCTTATAAGCAATAATACATTATGATAAAGATGTACTGGAGAGGTACTCTCGTCTAATGCCAGACATACCTGTTCTTTTTTTAACTGAAGTATAGTTGCTTTACAACCTTGTGTTGGTTTCTGCTGTACAATGAAGTGAATCAGCTCTATGTGTACATCTATCCCCTCCCTCTTGGACCTCCCTCCCAACCCCCGCCATCCCACCCATCTAGGTCATCACAGAGCACCGAGCTGAGCTTCCTGTGTTTTATAGCAGGTTCCCACTAGCTATCTATTTTACACATGGTAGTGTATTTCTGTCAAACCTAGTCTCCCAGTTCATCCCCCCCTCCCCTTCCCCGCACCGTGTCCACATGTCTGTTCTCTGTGTCCTGTGTCTCTATTCCTGCCCCGCAAATAGGTTCATTTGTACCACACCTAGAGTCTGTCATACAGAGTGAAGTAAGTCAGAAAGAGAAAAACAAAGACATACTTATTCTTTAAATTAACATTTCTTCCCAGAAAGTCCTGGCTGTGGAGAGCCGTTGTCACTGGCTTACCGTGCAGCCCGAAGGGATGCTTTCAAGGTCCCTGGACCTCACTGTCCTCGTCATGAATGGAGGGCCAGGCGGGGCTCTGTATTCAGGGATTCTGAGCCCATACTTAGAGAGGGGAACAGACTTTTCTGCTTGAACACAGATGCCCAGGGTGAGGACCGAGCATCAGTGGTGGTGCTGCGGGGGATTGGCTCTTTTGGTTCTCTGGGTTGGCCCCATGTGGGCTACCAGTAGTTCAGTAGTTGGGACCAGCAGTGGGGTCCTTCCCCTTAAGCTTTGGCCACATGCCTGGATTCCGGAACGTCTTACCCGCCTCCAGGTGACAGGAGACAGGAGCTCTTTATGAAAGCTAAGTTAGCTGCGTGAACTCTTTTTTTTACCACCTAAACTAAGTATGGGCATACTGCCCAGGGATATCCTTTTCCAGACAGGGGAAGGGCTCAGCTGCGTCACGTGACTAATGATGGGCCCAGGACCCAGGTCCCTGGATTCTCCTCCCAGGTGGTGCTTTTGGTCTGCCGACAATCTTCTTGCTTATTCTTGGACTTTTCTGGCATTAACAGAACCTCTCATCTTTGCTGAATTGCAGAAATGGCTTCGGACATCCCTGGATCGGTGACATTGCCTGTCGCCCCCATGGCGGCCACTGGACAGGTGAGGATGGCCGGGGCCATGCCCGCCCGCGGAGGAAAGCGGCGTTCTGGGTAAGCAACCTCGGTGGTTCCAGGAATTGGGCTTAATACGTGTTGAGCAACACTCTTGACCTGTTAGGAAAATATTGTCTCTCCCCCTCCTGGAGAATCAAAGCTCAGCAGTTTGCATCCTGTTTAGATTTTGCAAGATTCCTAACTATGCATGTGATTTGCCTCTGAGTGTTTCTGGGCCTCGGCACCCAGCTGGGGACTTCTGTTTGCTTGTCCTTGTGGTGAGAATGGCTCTGTGATCCTGCTGGGCTTTGCTCAGGCCATCTCTCTGAGGGAGGGGACTTACCCATCCCTCTGCCTGAGCCCACCAGCCGGAGGGCAGCCCTGCAGGTCGAGCTTCAGCCCCTGTGGGCAGCAAAGATCCCTCTGGTGCTCTCTGTTCTTTGCTCCGTCTACCCATCTTTGCTAGGTGGTGTGCAGGAATTCCTTTCCAAAAAACTGGCTCTAGCCCAGCACCTCAAGGCTGGGCGGCTTACGTTGTAACCTGCTCTGCCAGTAAAGTTGGTAACAGTGTTAAGTTCTGGTGGGACCAGAAAGACCATCATTCCTAAACTGATGGAACCCAAAACGACATCTACTCATGATATATGGTGTCTGTAGCTGTGCAGAGATCTACGAAACCGATCAACCAACACAGATCCCTGCAGGAAAAACATAACCGACATTTTCAGACTCTGTATATCAACCAACCCCTTTCCTTCATTGAATCAATTTTATTTTCAATGAAATATTTGAGAGACAAATATTTGATAGACAAATACTTTCATGAAATAGAATCAATTTGTCCTATTAATGCAATTTCCAATAACCCAGGTCTCCCCAGGAAGACAAGGGTCCAGGCTCATTTGTAAAATGGTCCATCATTTTAAACCTAAGAGTCACTTTTAAACCAGTGTGATTCTTAAACGGGGCTGGGGGAGGGGGAGCAGGTATGTTATGAGGACCTGGAATGGAATGGAGTAGGATGAAAAAGCCCCTTCAGCGTTATAATTTGAGATGGTGAAAAGACTGCTGTGTGTGTAGTAGTCTTTAAAAGAAGGGCTAAGATTTTGGTGATTAGTGAGAGCGTAATGGAGTCTGGTTCCCCAGCTTTCTCCCCTCCATTCAGCCCGCTCCCCTCCAGGGTCAGCGTTCCTTCCAGCGGGACCAGCAGAGCTCTCAGGAGCAGTGTGGTACCTGGGGCAGAACTCCTGAGATCAGCTTTAGAGTAGGAAGCAGCCTGCCCTGGGGCTGACTACAAACCCAGACATCCTCCTTTAACCAGCTACTCCTGCTAGCTAGGTGCTAAGCTCAGTGGCGTGTGGGCTGTTGAAAGAATGCCCTTGATGTCAACATATAAATTTACTGAATTTTTTTTTAAGATGCCAGGCCTTTTAAAAATTATTTTAAATGTCTGTGCTTGCTAACTTCCGTTCCCTGGGGACAGAGCCTCGTTGCTGGCCCAGTCCTTTTTAAGAAGAGGAAGCGCAGGACTCTTTCTGTTTCTTTTTTTTTCTGTATATTTAACACTTTTTAAAATTTTTTTAAATTTTATTTTATTTTTTTATACAGCCAGTTCTTATTAATTACCCATTTTATACATATTAGTGTATACACGTCAATCCCAATCTCCCAATTCATCCCACCACCACCCACCACTTTCCCCGCCTTGGTGTCCATACGTTTGTCCTCTACCTCTGTAGCACAGGACTCTTTGATGCAGGAAGGTGGGCTGGGCCAGGGCCAAGGACAGGCAGAGATGCTGGGGCCCAGTGTTTGCAGGACAAGGAGCCCTCTCCGTGCAGGGGAGTCGTCGCTGAGCCTCTGCCACCCCTCCCGCAGGGTGTGTACCGGGCCTACGCTTTGCTCAGGGCTGGGCTGTGGCGAGCTGAGGCTCCTGCCCTCCTTGACCTCCGAGTTCCTGGCGTCCAGACCCTGACATCTGCTTGCTGCCTGAGCTGATGACCGGACAGTGGACTCGGTCTCCTTTCTGAAGAGGTCCTCCAGGCTGCCCCTTTCCCTACCAGGTCACACATAACACGGCGTGACACTGGAGGTGGAGGGGGACCTGGGGTGGACTGAGACAGAGCCCAGAGGTCACTTCCACTTAGAAGCAAGGAAGCACCACAGCAAGCAAAGAAACCAGAGATTCAAGGGGACGAACAGCAACTGATGGCACGCTACCCAACCAGCAGGATGAGGGCCCGCGCCTCCGAAAGGCAGATCAAGGAGCCGACCTCCTCGGGGGCTCGTCCTTTATTCTCCTCATTTTTGGAGCCCGTGCGCCGGGCTTCCCCGTCAGAAGGAAGAGCAGGCAAACCGCGCTTCCTTCTGCTAAGCCCCTGTGACTGAGGGATGTATCCTCTGCGTCTCAGCAAGGAAACCTCCATTTTTACAGGGCAGTTTCCATAGTAACTCTCACATCTGGTATTTTACGTGTTTTGCTGAAATTCTGTGATGGAGGCCACCGTGGTTGTAGAACAACCACAGCAGTGTTAACGCCCCGCAGACCGCACCCTGCGCTCTCAGTCCTGACGAAAGTCACATTCATTAAAAAGCAGGTCACCCCGGGCTTCCCTGGTGGCGCAGTGGTTGAGAGTCCGCCTGCCGATGCAGGGGACGCGGGTTCGTGCCCCGGTCTGGGAGGATCCCACATGCCGCGGAGCGGCTGGGCCCGTGAGCCATGGCCGGTGAGCCTGCGCGTCCGGAGCCTGTGCTCCGCAACGGGAGAGGCCACGGTGGTGGGAGGCCCGCGTACCAAAAAAAAAAAAAGGGCAGGTCACCCCACTGCGGCGCCCATCCCTGCACCATGGCGCGTTTATGCACGCTCCCCCGTCACTGCCACGGTGCTCTTCCTCCTTCTCTCCGAGACTGTGGGGCACAGCTGGAGATGCAGGGAAGGGGAGAAGGAGAGAGCAAAGGAGTGGGTGGTTGGGAGAGGTAAGGACCTGCCTCCCGCCCCCTATTCCCTGTCTAGGTCTTCCCGCTCTGACCCGGTGATTCCGGTGGAGGGACGTGTCCCAGATTCCCAGGATGACCACCCAGCCCTAGTGTTTCAGAGCCAAGTAGAAGTGACCCCTCGTGGGGTTTGGATGCCCCGGCCACATGCCTGGCCCAGCGCCGTGGATCCTCTGATGAATGCTCTTTCCCTGTCCCCTGACGGCTCCGCCAGTAAGCATCTTAGCAAGCAGCGTGTTCTGCTAGCAGTTGGGACAAAGGTGAAGGTTCAGAAGTTTCAGATTCTTTGAAAAGTGATTCCACATGTGTGGCAGAAGTGACCAGAAGCAAGTCACCTGGATTGCGTTTTTGTAGAGAACTCCCTGATCCCAGTGAGGCGGTGGGATGGGGGGGCATCCACAGGGCACACTTGGTGCTTTTCAAGTGACAGGGGAAGTGGCTGTCATTAGACAGGCTGTGCCCATCCCCAGAGTCAGCCCTTGGTGGGGAGGGAGGGTGAGGCTGGAGGGCACTGGGTGTACCAGCCCCTTCCCGCTGCCCTGGAGTCAAATGTTGGGCTTCTAAAATATCGTCATTGGAGGGAAACGATTTCCAAATTGTGTGCGGCCAGTAGGCCAGCATCTCCCTGCAGTCTAACCCCACGGCTGCTGGAATGTGGTTGAGTAAAAGACATATTACATAAGCAGATGTTTTGCTTGGTTCAAATTTCTGCAGTAGTGTTGCTGTAGCCCCAGTCAGCTGGCCCAGGCCCTGAAGGAAGGGTGTTGGCTCGCACCCGTGTCACTTCTCTTTTTTTCAGCAGCAACTTCACGCTGGCCTGGGGTCGCTCGTTTGCTGCACTCTAGAACCAGCCTTGTTGGCACGGCGTCTCATCATCTCTCATAAGAGCATAAGTGAATGATTTGCTGACTCATATTTGACGATGCATTATTATTATTATGCAATCTCTGTCAGGCAGGTCCGCAGCACTCACTTGTAACTAGCTGCAGGCTCAGAAATGCTTTTCACGGCTTTTTATCGAGGTCAGAATCCATGCTCAGCAACAGGAAAGTGAGGTAAAATGCATTCTCAGCCCACCTTTTGAGGACTCTTAGATCATCCACTTATTGTACGGAATCCTTTAAAGTGAATACAATAGGACTTAAAAGGCATGTTTTGATTTCTCTCCCTTATTATCCAGATGCTTAAGTATAATAGAGACACATAAAAGACATACAGGATGATTTACTCAGAGTTTTTACAGCAGAAGAAAAGCACAGCTATTGTAGTCATATTTAAAGTGGAGCCTTTGAATTGGTGGCAGAAGACCCAAAGGCAGCGTCTTGGCAAGCGCTCCTCCGAAAGGTCCCTCTGTCCTCAGAAGTTGAATTGTTTTCTGTGTGGCTGATGGGCAGTGAGACCGCTTTGGGGTCAAGTGAGTTACCCTGAGGATCTGAACGGTCGTTTGTGTCCTGATTTCTCTCCTGAGTTCACGCCCACGTTATGCATTTCAAAATGTGGCAGCACGCATGTGATCACACGCTTACACAGGTGGGAAGGCACAGTTTTGTGGTCCCTAAGTTTTCATAGCCAAATACTGCTTCCTAAGTTTTCAGTAGACTTCAGAAAACTCTGGCTCCAGAGCCTGGCCGTCCCTCTCTTACACTCTCTGCTCAACTGGGCTGACCTGATCCAGACTGGGACCGTTTACCGTATGGCTTGCTTCCCCATCCGTCTGCTGCATGAGGTTCAGGTAAAGAGACAAGCTGTCCTTAATGAAAACTCTGGTGACCGACTGTCCTGGTTGGCCCAGGACCTTCCCAGGTTTAGCACTGAAGCCCAGTACCTCCACAGATCCCCACATTCTGGGAAAACCGGGACAGTTGGTCTCCCTAAATACCCCAAAGATCGTGCAGCCTGAGGAGGGAAGGCTGACTTAATCAATTGTATCTTGCAGGAGCCAGATTATCACGCTCGTATCAACTTGACCTGAAAGGCATTTTAAAGATAACTGTACATGTCGCACCCACTTGAGGTTTTGCTAAATGCTTGCATAAATCCATTAGAATTTTGAAAGTGCGAGTTCTTTTTCTCAGCACTAGTCTGTTTTTGCCAGCCCAGGGGTGTTAAGTAACCTTCATGTCTGCAGCAAAGTCGCTCTTACCCGTGATGAACACTGGGTGGCAGTGTGGTTCTGTAGCTCTGCAGAGGCCCAGAGGCTCTGGGAGCAGGATTTTTGGTGCTATCTCCCAGACGTGATTTTTCAGGAAAGGTGAGGTGATGGCTTAGTAGCTAAGCAGTATATTGATGACTCTGCTTCATTTAGAAAGTCGTGCGTTCAGCCACCATTTTCCCACAACATAGGCGACTCTGCAGCTGCTGTCTGGTGCCCGGCTGCCCAGTCTGCATTGTAGGGGCGTGCATGTCTGTCTCTCCCAGTGGTGTTTTAACTCTACTTTCCCTTTCTTATCACTTTTCTTCCCGGTCTTCCCTCCTCTTTGTGCAGAAGTATTTTTGTTAACATCGCTGTCATCTCTCCCAGTTATGTAATGCCTTTTGTTCTTTTATTCCAAGCAGCCAGTGCAAGCCCTGGTGCCTGGAAATCAGGGATTCCAAACTGGCAGGGGATCCCATCAGTTCAACTCAGATTAGAACTCTGGCCACACTGCACATAAAACAGTCCAAAAATAAACATGTGATACCATTTTAAAGAAGACAATGTTCCTTTGCCCTATGTCATCACAGTCTCTAGGTCCCCCAAGTAACCCCAAAGCCTAGAGAGTACGATTTATCTCATTAGGGGCCTCTCCCACGTGCTTGTCCCGTGGTGGCTCTTCCTATGCAACTGGCCATTTCCTGGTGGCCTGGGTGCCCTGTGCCTTCCCCCCATCACCCATTACCCACTGGGGCCCCGACCCTGAGAGCTGAGGGGGAGATCGCGTTCCGTGTGAGGCCAGCAGCCCTGGCATATGCAGCTGTGGTCCTAGAGCACACCCACCACTCTGGTGGCAAGCTGTTGGCCACCAGGCAGGCCGACCTCCCTTCTGCTTGGGGTCCACGGAAACTGTCCCACTTAGTCCCTCGGTTCCACTGAGAACAAGATGGGGCATGCAGTGGCTCTGAGACGTTCTTCCCCCAAGGAATCCCACCTCCCTCAAATGTCCAGGAGAGCTAAGACATCTGTACCATTTCTGTTTTGTTCCCGAAGACTCTGGGTACACCTTAAATAAGTACCTGCTCTGCTCTAACATCTTCAGGAGTAAAATTAACTGACCTTAGAGAGGACTGTTTTTTGTTGTTTGTTTTTTGAGAAGGAGAGTTTGGGATATCAGTTAAAGAAATATCTATCAAAACTTTTTGTTTTATGTGTATTTGGAGAGGCCCAATGAAGTGGGAATCTTGAGTATTTATTGGGTGAGTTTCAGTAAGCAGACAGGCACTTTGAGTAGCTTGGGCCCCAAATGACTGTTTCTCCCGCACACCCATTTACTTGGACCTGGAGTTTATAGGCTAATGGCCTTAAATGCCCTTTCCATGTTGACTCATCCACGCCAGCCAAGTCCTCACATGGCACAACCAGTAGTATATGTTTCCCTCATAATCCCTTCATTGCCCTTAAAACTTCCTGTTTTTGAAACCCTCTTGGGCTTTTCTCAGTCTTTTAATATACCACAAAATAATTTAAAGAAGGAAGTCTCCCTGTGGAATAAATGATATGGAGGGGAGCAGGTGTCCCCAAAGGTGGTGGGAGATAAGGGGTGTTTGATTTTTCCAGCACAGCCTGAGCAACCCACTGGCAGCCTGTATAGGGTTCTAGAAGGGTTCGAGTTGATATTCCAGCACTTTTGCAGAAGTCCCCAATCATATAATTAATGGCACTGGTGCTGTAGACCTTTCATTCTGCCCTTTCTTGTCTCAAACCTGTACAATGACCGTGTAGAGATACTGGTTTTTGCACTGCCAAGGGTTGGGATTGTTGGAGAGCAATCTGACCAAATAAAACCCCCTGTGTGTGACACCAGCTCATGTGTCCAGTTAAATGTCCTACGTATAATGAATGCTCACTCGTGATCTTGACTTTTCAGAATGGACTTTGATGATGAAGATGGAGAAGGTCCCAGCAAATTTTCAAGGTGAGTTTACTTTATGTTCCCTAGATTTAAAGAAGCCAAGACCATTTATCACCTCATTGGGACCAACAGGGGTTTAAATGTCTTTCATCATTGAAAGAAAGCCATTGCCTCGTTCTGTGCCAGTATTTGGCCCGGGGACAGGTAACTATTAGCAAACCTGCCAACCCCAGCCTGGATGATCAAAAGTTAAGTAACAAATTATTAGCTCTTTTGGCTTTTTGAATTAAATACTGACTGCCCGTTTCAATGGATTCTTTTTTAAAAGACAGACCTAGAGTTCAAGTTTAGAAAAACAGTCAAGATAAAGCCTCTTTTTCTACCGTGGAAAATAAGGAGAAATATAAGAAACCTGGGTGGCCCTGTTCTGGATGTAGGATATAAAACTGGACCTTAAGTTCCTAAGAGCTGTATCACCCACTGGCCACAGGACAGCATCTCTAACTAGGCTCTGTGGGGCTGTCCTGAGAACAGACCGCCTCACAGAAGGATACTGGCCCGTGGGAGCCGGTGGTGGTAGATGTACCGCATACCTGAAGGACAAGGCCGGCCCAGCCCCGTGGCTTTTTTTTTCTTTATTATTTTGTTCAAGTTATGGGAGGAAGTTTGGCAACATGGAGAAAAGGGCAAAGATCAGTCTTAGCAAAATGCCCATCTGTACCCAGTTTACTTATGGAGGGGCCTGCCTTGACATTCCTCCCCCGCTGCCCCATCAAAGCACTCCTAATTCCTGGTGGTTGATGCATTTGAAAACGTACCCCAGGTTACGGATACCTTTCTCCGGTACGCACAGTCCACAGTTTGGATTGACAACTTCGGTTATTTTATAAGTGTTTTTAGCAGAATGATGTCCGTATTGAGCCCCGGACCCATGGCCTCCGCCAGTTTGCTCATCCCCATGGCAGTTACGTTTGGTTGGCTACCTTTTACCCGTGTTGTGGGTGTGGATTGAGCACCCCTTCCCCAAATCCAAGAGGAACATGCATCTCGTTCCTATTCCTGGGCTTCCTGGCGTCTCCAAGTCCATAGAAAGTCTTGTCACTTGAGACGCTTTCCTCCCCGAGAACTTTGCCTTCCATCCTCCCCGCTCCGCTTGGGTGAGAAGGACAGAGAAGGTGGAGCACGCTTTGACCTCGAATGACCCCGGAGTTTCTAATCAAATCAAGACACGAGTTTCAACAACAAAAGCGTGTATTAGTTTTCCCTTGGTGCAGACAGAACCCCAGCTTAGATGTCCACCCATTTCTTAGGATACATTTTAATAGCAGGGAGTGCTTTGTTCCCGAAAAGAGAGCTAGCCTCGGAAATAGGGGCACACGTCTCCCCAGCCTAGTTTGCGCTCGCCTTACACAGCCTCCCTTTACAAGGAAACAATGACCTGTGGTTTCTTGGAGCAGAATTCCCCTTGAGATAACATTCCATCGCTTGTTGACCTCAGGAAATGATGGTTCCTGGGTCTCAGAACAGAGGGAGGAAGAGAGACGAGGAGTGACGTTTGTTTGACATGGAAGATCAGTGTCAGTGATGAAATAACAGTGCAGGGACACAGAGAGCTCATTGTTTGAGGTCCCATCAGGAAGAAACAGAAACCCTAGACTCTGTGAAACTGTCTTGTAAGCCCGCCAGTGAGTCAGGTTGTACATAGTCAGGGTTCAAACCTAGGCTTCTGGGAACCGTATCCTTTCCCCTGCACATGGAAAATAAGAGGGGAAGATGGGACATGCTTCCAACATACACTGGTACCCGCGGAAGCCTGGGCCCACTTCAGTGTGTGACCGTCGGAGAGTTGATGGACCTGTCAGCCGGAGGGGGCATCTGAGCTGCTCCCAGCTGGGGAGGCGACTGAGGCTACCCGCCCTCCGCTTTGCCGAGCTGTTCTGGCAGCCGTCCAGGAGAGGGTCGGAGAGACTGCTGCAGGCCGTCTCCTGCCGGTGGCAGGCATGGCCTGCCTCGGGGCCACTTCTGTTTCCTGCTCCTGTGCTTAGTCAGCCTAGGGAGCCCTTGGGCGAGGCCCTGCCAAAGAGGGTGGCTGAGATGCGGGCATCTCACCAGCAGAATTTGCTGTCTCAGAATCGGGCCAGGGTGCTAGGCTGTGATTTCTGTCCCCCTGCTGTGTGTGCAGCCAGCTTTCCCAGGGCTTCTCAAGGGTGGTCCCAACTCAAACGTCCGACCTCTCGTCAGACGTCGTGTCTCAATTTCGGATATGGGAAATGCGGTCACAGCCACATAGGAGGTAAATCAATTGGGTTTGGTTCCTGCCTGATCGCAGCAGGTCTCAGGAAGAACAAGGTAGTAGCCATGAAGCTGCCCACAGCCACCTAACCACACACATGCACACGCGTGCATATGTGCGTGTGTGTACCCAGCCGCTGCACACAGGTACACACATATGCACGCACACATATGCACGCGCACATGGGCACACACATGTGTTCCAGGGCCAGAAATGCCCTGAGGGCCGCTGCACCATCCCCAGGCCTCAGCCCTCCTTCCCACACAGGTTCATGCCGCTCTGGGGGCTGTGGGATGCAGGACAGGGCTCTGCTGACCCCGGATGCTTCCCACCTCCCACACAAAGTCACGGGCAACCTGGTGGGCAGAAGCCAGTCTGCAGGGTCTGAGGATTATACTGGGGAATGCAGAATTGAAGCCTGGGGGAGACAGCTCGTTGAGCAGCTTGGATGTGGATAAAAAAGGAAGAGGGCATTTGGGGCTTGGGGAGGGAGACCACTCTTAACGGTGGGAAGAGACCATGAGCGCATGTCCACGGGGAGGGGGAAGAGTGAGTATAACCGGGGATTTGGAAGGTTCTGGAGTGGGGTTGGGGAGAGATGGGTCAAGGGAGTGGGGAAGGGGAGGGATAGCTCCAAGCCCAGCAGGGGGACGACCCATCCTTGGCCGCAGAGAGGAGGAGCTGCAAGTGCAGCTGAGTGTGATGCTGCTGGGTGTCCGGAGAGTTGAGGGGTTCATTCTGATGGTTCCTCCTCTCTGGTTAAGCAGAGGCCGTGTGCTGTCAGGGGCAGAGGCTTAATGGTGCGCCTGAGAGAGAAGTTTGGGATGCCTGGGTGGAAGAGATGTACGAACTGTACCGTAGACCCCACGCCCTAGCACACTGTGTTAGCGTGCAGTTTTCCCCCAGTAGCGCCCAGCTGGTTGGATGCCGGGGGATGCAGACGGCCTGTGCACTCAGGCCCGGGGGGTCCAGCAGGGGGGCGGGGTCAGCAAGGTGGTTGATGTTGATGAGAGGGCCGTTGAAGAGGTCAAGCTACAGGTCCAGCTGCAGAAGGAAGAAAGGCCAGGAGCAGAGAGAAGGGAGGGTTGATGACCTGGGAGAACATGGGGGGGAGTAGACTGGAATACAGCTCGTGCCACCCCACGTTCGTGGTCTGCAATTTCAGTCGGGGTCTAACGTTTTTACCTCCGTTTCCTCCATTAGCCTCGTTGGAATTCAACCTGGGGCATCCCAGACTTCCCTCTCAGGCACACCTGTAAGCCTCTGCCCACTGCAGATGAACGAAGAACCTTCTGCTTTTGTGGGAATCTGAGGGAGCTGGAGAAGCAGCGGGTGTGTTCACGAAGTGGGGAGTCGCAGCTCTGGGAGAGGTTGGCCGAGGCTCAGGGGTGGGGGGATGGCTGCTGGAGAAGAAGGGGGACGCGGAAGGTGGTACAGCCGGGCGGGCTGGTGCAGGTCCCCGCTGTCGCGTGGGCGGCTGGTGGGGACGGTGACAAGGAGCCTGGAGGGTGGTCGAGACAGGTATGTGGGAGCGTCAGGGGAGTGGGCGTTCGGAGCCGGCCTTCCTTCCCAGGCTGGGCTCCACCTCACGCCTCTGGGAATTCCAGTTGCCAAGTCATCCTCCTGTCATCGGTTGGGGTTGAGCTCTCCATCTCCGGGAAAACTGAGTATACACCAGGAAGTGTTTCTCCGAAGATGAATCTCCCGGGCGGGGGTGAGTGGGGCTGGACCCGCCTTCGGGGAGGCCAGCGTGAGCCCCTCCCTGACCCCGTCCCCTCGCGGACAGCCCTGGTCTCCCTGGGAGGCACTCGCAAATCCTGCCCAGCAGATCCTGCATCCCTACACTCGAGGAGAGGCCAGAGCTCTTCCATCATGCTGAGCGGCTCAGGGTTCTTCCTACTTTAATGCCCCCTTGGTGGATAATCTAGTGAGTCCCAAAATCTCCTCTTGTGCCTGCAGCTGGGCTCAGTGGCGTCCTTTTTTTTTTTAATTCTTTTTTGTTGTTGTTTCTTTGTTTTTTTCATTTTGGCTGCGCTGAGCGGCATGCGAGATCTTAGTTCCCTGACCAGGGATCGAACCCGCGCCCCCTGCATTAGTAGTGCGGAGTCTTAACCACTGGATCGCCAGGGAAGTCCCTCAGTGGCGTCTTGAATACTGTTTCATACACAGGACAGCTGGTATCCCAGAGCTGTCATCAAGAGAGTCAACTTTACACACCATGCTCTCCGTGTGACTTACATATATGTACATACACGTGTATGTGTATGTGTGTAATGTTCATTAAAACAGAAGAGTGGAAACATGAAAACTAGAGGTCTTTTTAAATGTTGGGTTTATATCTTAGGAACAACCAAGTGTTCACTCCCAAACCCTTAATTTTTGTCGCTACGTGCTATCAACCATGTTCACACTCATTCTGCACCCTTTCTCAGAAGACCCAGGAGATCTCGCAGGGAGTTCTCACATCTGTTACTGTGAATTCTACTATAGTGCATGGGACCATCTACAAACCTGGAACTAAAAGACCTCGTTGATGAGTTTTCTTAGTCTCTCTTCCACCCTTCACCCTTCACCCTTCGAGGACCGGCTCCAATTGACCTTCCTGAGGTTCCATCCATCATCTGTGTGACTCTCAGCTGTTCCCTGGGGACACTCCGTCACCCAATTGCAGCAGTCCAGAAGGAGTCCTTATATTTTTTTGTAGGGTTTTGCCAGTGAACCTCTGACATTATCTAAAAGTAAAGCTGCCCACGCTAGGAAAGTTTCCACA